AAGGCAGTTAAAAGAAGCAAATGACATTCAAGATGAAAAGCATCACCATGTCGTCTTCTACCTGTTTGATTTTGCAATACTTAGTAGGCAACAATGCGGTAATGCGATCAAGATACATCGAAAAACATAAAGAAAATGAAAAACATCAAAAGTGCCAAGAGCTAGACTACATAAGCTCAGAACCAGTATCATGTTAGGTGGTAAGGTCTTCAGACTCCAGATATATAATCATTTGCAACGTTTAGGTGATGCTCTCTATTTTATGCTTTAGCAGCTCAAGAAAGATACTTCAAATGCACCGCATCAAACTGCTTCTAAGAACAAAAAACATAATGTTACAGATGAGACCACCGGTTAACTAAGAAGCTGCTAATTCTTCGAGAAAAGAACAAACGTTACCAGAAATTCTGCATTGCACAATCATTCAGAGAAAAAAATAACACAACATTTTACTAAGCTAGATGAAGCACAAATTAATTTTCACAGAAAACTTGTTTTGACTATTTCGAAGGCCTTGAAAAGATAAATTGCAGGTCAAAGACATCCTGGTACCTTTAAGTTCAACTACGTATATATAAGAGCTAGCCATATTCAAGCTGAGTTATATAACTGAATACTCAGGAGTGTGATAAAAAATAATAGATTAAAATATAAGCACTTCATTAAGCTATCATCCATTAATTCCTGCACTGATAAATGTGGTCTTCCCCCATTCAAGCTATCATCCATTAATTCCTGCACTGATAAATGGGGTTGCAACCTCGAGTGCGAGGATTAGCCGGGGGAGGCAAGCAGTTGGCGTATGACCTCGGTCCTGAGTTGCAGATGGGCCGGTCTCGATTCAGGGCACCATACCCGATCGTCTTCCCATCGGCCTCCAAGATTAACCTCCGATGAACCTCTGAGTCCATCATCTCTTCACCATCTTCTTCTGCTAAGAACCCTGTTGTTATGTCACTACTGTTGGGTCCCCCATTGCACAAAGACGGCAATAGGGACAAGGCGATGATGTTATCAGTCTCAGTGGACAATCTCGAAACAGATGCAGTAAGGAGCTGGATGACTGCCAGCCCAACCAAACAACATATGGTTGCTATTTCCTTCTTCATCTTGTTATGATTCCTCAAATGCTTTATCACTCAATGGCTACATATGAATCTATAAGGTCAGTGGAGTACGGTGATATATATATATATATAAATTTATTTGGAGATTAGAGGACAATGAAGCAGATTACAATGGGATAGGGTTGTCAAACGGGTGGTAAAGCACCACACACTTGTAAATTAAGGACCATGTATTAATATTCCCCTTCTTTCTATGACTGCTTGCTGACACTGTGCTCGATCATCTTTTCACTCGCCAGTTCACATTATGTGGACTACATTAAGAGCAGTTATTGATTGAAGAAATTTTGGAGAAGGGGACTATTTTCCTTTTCATGATTATCACCAAGGTTTTGAACTACGGGAAGAATTTTCCACTGCGCGCGGTCCCTCGTCACTTATCTTTGACCCAGCTGAAGTAGGCCTTGTTTTTTCTCCATTTAGCCCCAAAACCACCTCTAATTCTATCAACTCGGTTTGCTTCATCTCAAGTATTGCTTCCCTTTGCACTTAGGGAACAACCCATGTAGGAAGAATTAAAAAAAATAGTCTCTTCGTGAGTCGCTGCCCTATTCCTCCTGTGACCCCTAACAATGCTTGTGGCTTCTATTCCCCCCTTCTCTACTCAGCATATACTGGCAGTATGCGCACTGTGACAAATATACTAGTCTAGTAAACATGCGGCAAGTTAAGAGCCATAGTCGTAGGAAGCAAATTAAAAAAAGAACAGCCTCATCCCAAGTATAAATCACCCAATCAAATAAGTAAAGGAAAATATGGGAATAATTATATCGCTACCTAGAAAAATCCTTTTATAAGGAGGAAAAATACTTTTAAGAGGATGTTTCTTCCGCTTGCAGACTTTCTGGACAGAGTGAAAGACCAGAAGCAGGAAGAAACTCTTCCTCTTTTCCTGTTCCTTTCAAGGCAGTTCTAAGAAGCAAATGATATTCAAAATGGAAAGCATCACAATGTCTTCTACCTCTTTGATTTTGCAATACTCAGTAGGCAACAATGCGGTAATGTGATCAAGTTGCATAAAAAAACATAAAGAAAATGAAAAACATCAAAAGTGCCAAGAGTTAAGACTACATAAGCTCAGAATCAGTATCATGTTGGGCGATAAGGCCTCCAGACTCCATATATAATCATTAGTAATGTTAGGTGCTGCTCTCTATTTTTAAGCTTCAGCAGCTCAAGAAAGACGCTGCATACGCATTGCATTAAACTGCTTCTAGGAACAAAAAACATAACATTATAGATGAGACCACTGATTAACTAAGAAGCCGGTAATTCTTTGAGAAAAGAACAAACATTATTAGAAATTTTGCATTGCACAATCATTTGAAGAAAAAAAAAATAACAGTAAATTTTACCAAGCTAGGTGAAGCACAAATTAATTTTCACAGAAAAATACAATTTGGAAGGCCTTGAAAAGATAAATTGAAGGTCAAAGGCATCCTGGCATCTTTAAGTTCAACTACGTCTATATAAAAGCTATATTCAAGCTGAGTAAAAGAACTGAATATTCAGAAGTGTGATAAAAAAAATAATAAATTAAACTATAAGCACTTCATTCATCTATCTTCTAATGACATTAAACATTGGACAGCACACTTAAACGTAATGGGAATTGGACTGGTTTGAAGCATTTTCAGCTCTTCTTAGCATGGCTGTTGTGCCATCTTCCGGTGTTCTTCTGTCCCTAGGTTCATTTTGTTTTTTATATGATTTTTATGTACTTCTTTTATTCTGGCATGTGCTCGTTTTGCTTGGATCCTGGGATAAAAGTTCAAATATTTTCTTGTACTATGAGACTCTTATTTAGTTTTCCATGATCTTTCTTCATGAAGCAAGGGGAAAGGGCGAAAGGGTAATCGGTGAAAGAAGATTTCAAGTGATAAAATCCACAAATAAGTCCATAATATGTATACGGCCATGATGACAAAACATAATAGTTAAAAACATAGTCTTATTCTTACATTTGATTGGGAATAAAGCAGGGCTGCCTAATTCATATATACGAAACATTAATGCACTCCAATTTATTAATCAATAAATGTTTTGAAGACTAGTTTCTGATTGCTACTAAATGAGATTCCAACTAAAAACCTTAAGCTGTCTTTATTCCTCTTCCTCATCTTTTAGTATACACTAATCCGTATCAGAGTAAACCCCAGATAGCAATATCCCTTCCCCCTTCAACACCAAATCTCTTTCCCCACCTCTGAGCTGCTGTTAGGACCCCCAACCAATGTTGACCCTCCCGCCTCTAAACCCAATAACAATCCCCACAATCGGCAGAACTTTCAAAAGACCCACAATCATCGCTTCCTCAAAGCCTGCAGCCACGCATTGCTTACCTAATTCATGCAAGGAATTTAATTGGATATAAAAGAGAACTTTCAGATTTTAAGTTCCCATGTTTCAGATTTCAAACTCGACGAAAAAATTTCCAAGGCAAATCACCCAAAATAGCAACCATTAAAATGTTATCGCACTACAAACTTCGAAGGCCTGAGAACATCCTCATATATCTACTTATTGATGAGTTTTTATTATATTCATGACTCTTAGTGCAAGTCGAACACTACTCATCTAAGTTGACTGTTAGGCGCAGAGTCACGTCCTCACGCAGCGGAAACGATATCACCTTAGAGAGAGCCCTAACTTTCGTTTTCACAAAAGCACAAGTCAACCTCTATATTCTTGTCTCTCAAAGGAAACTAGAATAGAAAATGAAATATTTCAATAAAGTGAAATATTCATTCTTCCTCTCATCAGTTCTAGGACTGAAATATTGAGGGAACCTACAAGCAATGGCAAACTCACAGTTAATACAATACAGACACGAGATTTACATGGTTCAGCTAACTTGTCTACATCCACGGGAGGGGGGTTTTTGTCACAACCCCAATTTCCGAACCTCAAAGGAATATTAGAGCCGGACTAAACCTGTGAAAAGTCCTCCAAAATATACATTCATTAAAAGAGCACTAAAACAAATCTCTTCATTGAACTAAAACCAACAATAAAAATTCTCTTTAATCCCAAAAGTCAAACTAAGCCAATTAACTTGATAAAAATAAATATTCCTCAACTCCAAATAAATCTCAACCTAAAGAAAGAATCTCATTATTACAAACTCTCAATTCATCAACTAAACATTAAAGACTTTATTTAACCTTCACCTAGAAGACAATAACAATCTCGAATTATTCTTTGCTTCGTTCTAAGAATTTGGCAAATCCTCAATTCCACCTAATCCCAAGTCTCTGAAAAGAATGAAAACAACACAATGAGTTCACAACTCAATAAGTGGATAAATTTATACATTAAACACTGGTTTTGCAAAACTAAAATAAATTGACTTGATAAGCGAAATACTAAAATAGTAAAATCTATAATGCAACACCTTTAAAATAAATACATGCAATGAAAATAAGTAGGTCACGTCTCAATGCGGTCAACACTTCGATACTCCGGTTGACTTGGCAAACCCCACTATTATAAAGCCCGTGATAGGAACGGTGAGACCCAAACTTGGGCTCTTAGCGCTAAAATAGAAACCTCATAGAGGCACATTGAGCCTTGTTTTAATAACTTGCTTATATCCGACATATACCGGTATACTGACTTGAGATGCATATGCTTTAACAATAAACAAAGTTCATAAAGCTAATCACATTATACAAAAATGCCAAAGGCCAACCAATAGTGAAATAAATCAGACACATATGCATCTTAACCTACCACTATATGAAAAGACATAACAATTGATAAAGAAAATAAGCATAGGCTTATACCAAAATATCCATGAGCATCATAAAATTAACCAATCAACAAATGATATACCAGTAATCATACGAAGGATATAATCCGTCAGGAACAAATCCAAGTATACTTGATATAATTATATAAAAAATACACAGCGCACAATGCATAAATTCACCACTTACCACAAACTCGAAAGACAATCGAAATACCACTCACGATGCCTCCTCGGAGCCACTAGAAATTCCTACGGAATAAATGCAAGAAATTATCAATACTAACTATTAAATAATTAACGTGATATGTGACTAACATGCTAACTACTTGATCAATCTATATCTTTGACATAATGAACTAAGTATATTATAAATCATACCCACCACCTAATATTTTTACAACATCAAAAAGTTGGCACCTCTTTACCTTGTCTATTTAGTTCCGTCGATCCAAAACAAGCTTTGGATAATGATGCTTTCAACTTTATCTTTGTGTAGAGTGGATCAATCACCACGTCCTCCCCTTTCAATTGAGATTTGGTCACTTTTTTTTTTCTTTTTTTCTTTTTTCTTTTTTTTTTTTTTTGCGGCGGAACAGAGACAGAATAAGAAGAATCGGGAAAAGAAATAGAGTTTTGGGTATTTATGAAGATCCTTTTTTTTGCTATTAGAACCCGCTAACAATTTTTACATAAAAGTTCCTATACTTTTCCTTATATATATCTATCTAAAGAAAGCTTAGAATTATTACATACTATCCCTCTTAATAGAAGTTTTGTCCTCAAAACTTGAACATACCTGAGTCTTCAAATAAATTAGGATATTTTTCCTTCATCTCATCTTCGTGCTCCCATGTAGCTTCTTCAGCTGAATGATTTTTTCATAAAACCTTCACTAGCTTAATCATTCTTGACCTCAAGGCTTGCTCCTTCCAGTCCAAAATTCTAACTGGATACTCTAAATATATTAAATCTTCCTTGATCCCAAGGGGCTCATAATTCAATACATGACTCGGATCAAATACACACTTCCTCAGCATTGACACATGGAAAACATTATGAATTTTAGCCAACTCTGGAGGCAATGCAATTTTGTATGCTACAGCTCCAACCCTCTCCAAAATCTCAAAAGGTCCAATATATCTCGGACTCAACTTGCCATTTCTTCCAAATCTCATCATTCCCTTACTAGGTGATACTTTAAGGAAAATATGATCGCCGACTTCAAACTCCAACTTTCTTCTTCTATTATCGGCATAACTCTTCTGCCTGCTTTGAGCTATACAAAGTCTCTCACGTATCTGTTGAATCTTCTCAGTGATAATCTGTACTATCTCAGGACCGAGCAGCCTTTTTTCTCCTACATGATCCCAACAAATAGGTGATCTACATCTCCTACCATACAGTGCTTCATAAGGGGACATCAATACTGGAGTGATAGCTATTGTTATATGCAAACTCCACCAAAGGCAAATGTTTTTCCCAGCTACCCTTCAAATCCAAAACACAAGCACGAAGCATATCCCCCAATATCTGAATAGTCCTCTCCGATTGCCCGTCCGTCTGCGGATGATAAGATGTGCTAAAACCCAATTGTGTTCCCAGAGCATTATTCAGACCTTGCCAAAATCTAGAACGAAATCTCGAATCTCTATCTGATATAATAGTCACTGGTATCCCATGCAATCTCACAATCTCCTTAACATATAATTCAGCAAGCTTCTCAAGAGAATGAGTGATTTTACAAGGCAAGAAATGAGCCGATTTAGTAAGTCGATCAACAATCACCCATATAGTGTCATTACCACTCTGACTCCTAGGAAAACCAGTCACAAAATCCATTGTTACCTCCTCCCACTTCCACACAGGAATTGAGAGAGGCTGAAGTAGTCCGCCAGGCTTCTAATGTTCAATCTTGACTTGTTGGCACACCAAGCACCTAGACACAAATTCTGTAATATCTCGCTTCATGTCATTCCACCAAAATGTTTCTCGCAAATCTCTATACATCTTCGTTGATCCAAGATGAATTGTATATGCCGAACAGTGCGCCTCCTCTAGGACTTCTTTCTTCAACTCCGGATTATTAGGTACACATAAACGATTTTTAAATCTCAAAGCTCCATCATGAACTACAAAATCATGTTGAAGTTCCTGATCCACATCTGCTTTAATTTTTACAAGAACTGAATCATCACTTTGTGCAGCCACAAGCCTGTCAATCAAAGCAGGCTGAATTTTAAGATGAGCAAACATCACTCCAGATCCCCGAAGTCGAATATCAATATCCAGTCTCCTCAAGTCCTCCATCATATGCTTCTGACTTGTGACCAAAGTGGCAACACTAGCATTGGACTTCCTACTCAAAGCATCAGCTACCACATTTGCCTTGCCGGGATGATAAAGAATATTAAGATCATAATCCTTCATTAACTCCAACCATCGCCTTTGTCTCATATTTAACTCCTTAAGTGTGAAAATGTATTTAAGGCTCTTATGATCTGTGTAGATGTCACAAGTCTCCCCGTACAAATAGTGCCGCCAAATCTTCAATGCAAAGATAACAACAGCTAACTCCAAATCATGTGTTGGGTAGTTCTTTTCATAAGGTTTAAGTTGTCTGGAGGCATATGCTACTACTTTCTCATTCTACATAAGAACACAATCGAGGCCAATATGAGAAGCATCACTGTATATCACAAATCCACCTGATCCAGAAGGAATCGTGAGTATAGGTGCGGACACTAATCGATCCTTCAACTCCTGGTAGCTCTGCTCACACTTCTCTGTCCACTGAAACTTGATCCATTTCTGAGTCAATCGAGTCAAAGGTGCTGCAATGCGAGAAAATCCCTCGATAAACCTTCTATAGTAACCAGCCAATCCCAGAAAGCTTCGTATCTCGGTCACGGTGCTAGGTCTCTTCCAATCAACAATTGCTTCTATCTTTGAAGGATCCACTGACACCCCTTCCTTAGAAATTCCGAACAGTCTCAACACCATCATTCTTGAGAACCCTAGCAATCATGGACTTCTCATCAAAGGTAACGTCCATGTTGATCACGAACTTTGAATCTTCTGTACACCAAAGGCGATAGCCTTTTACACCCTTTGCATACCCCAAGAAAATTACCTTCTTGACCCTTACGTCAAGCTTTCCCTCGTTGACATGATAGTAGGCTGTACATCCGAAGATCCGGAGCCTATCGTAATCTACATGCTCCCCTGACCACACCCGATAGGGTGTATCACCGTCCAATGTCGAATATGGAGATTGATTCACTATATAGTAAGTTGTAGCAATCGACTCTGCCCACCATTCTTTGCCCAAACCAGCATAAGATCGCATACTCACTGCTTTCTCCCGTAGTGTTCGGTTCAGTCTCTCCGCGACCCAATTTTGCTGTGGCGTAGATCTAACTGTCCAGTGTCTAGCAATCCCCTCCTGATCACAGAACTCCTTGAAAGCATCATCTGTATACTCTGTATTGTTGTCAGATCTCAATGTCTTCAATTTCTTTCCTGTCCTGTTCTCAACCATCGCCTTCCACTTCTTGAATGTCTCAAATACCTCATTCTTATGCTTCAGAAAATAAATCCAAGCATATCTCGAATGATCATCTATGAATGAGATAAAATATCTGGAACCACCCTTAAAAGTTATCGAAGTCGGACCCCAAACTTCCGTGTGCACATAATCTAGTATCCCTCTGCTCTTGTGATTACTTCTCAGAAATTGAACCATGTGCGCCTTCTCATACACACAATCCTCGTAAAAATCCATGCAAGACTTCTTCAGATTCTTCAACAAACCCTCCTTACCAAGCAGATCTAGACCCTTCTCTGACATCTGCCCAACCCGCCTATGCCATAACCGTGTGTGCTCACATGGATCTCCACCACTTCCATCAGTTCCAACAGCTGCATCTCCCGTCACTGTCGTACCTAAGAGAGCATATAGGTTGCCATGACGAATGCCCTTCATCGCTACTAAGGAACCCCGAACAACCATCTTCACTCCGTTCTCTGTTACAATCTTGCAACCCGGAGTCTAAAGCACCAACTGAGATAAGATTCTTCCGCAAGTCGGGAACGTGCCTTACATCCGTCAAGGTTCGAACCACTCCATCATACATCTTGATCTTGATATCGCCTAGCCCCATCGTTTTACAAGCATGATTATTCCCTATCAATACGATTCCACCATCAATGCACATGTAGGTAGTGAAGCATTTCCTATTTGGACACATGTGGTAAGAGCAACTAGAATCAAGTATCCACTTCCCGAAGGTATTCTCGCCACCCGTGACGACATAGCATTCCTTATCGCTCCCTTCCCCTGAAACGTAGCTCGCCTCTTCCTTGTCTTCTTGTCTTTCAGTCTTGTAGTTGTTTTTCTTCCCACCTACTCTCTTGTTAGGACAATTGCCTTTGAAATGTCCTAGCTCACCGTATTTGAAACACTGTATTTCAAGAGGTCTTGATTTTGATCTAGACTTTCCTTCCTTGCCTTTTCCTCGCTCATTGCCCCTTCCTCTGGTAAAGAACCCCTGCGCTTGTTCTTTGTTACCACCAGTGACCATATCACTAGTTATAATTTTCGAAGATCATCTGTTCTAGTCTCATCTATCGACAGACTATCACCCACAAACATCAGTGTTTGAACCAGATTCTCTTTAAGACTTTGACAAAGATAGAAGTAGTAGAAGTGTCTGATCCTCATCTTCCACTGTCACCTCAATATCTTTCAAATCCGATAAGATCCTATCAAACTTGTTGATGTATTCCCGGATTGATGAACCATCGTCCATCTTGCAAGTATACAATTTGGATTTTAAACAGATCCGATTTGTTAGACTCTTCGTCATATGAAGGTGCTCTCTAATTTTAACCACACGCCCGCAACCGTTTCCTCCCCGTCCACCAAGAAAACTACATCTCTTTCAAGGCAAAGGATAATCGACGCACGTGCTTCCAGATCCAGCTCCTCTCAATCCTCATCAAACATATCCTTGGGCTTCTTTTCTTTTCCCACCAAAGCTTTGTCCAATTTCTACGAAATCAATGAATTTTTTATCTGCATCCTCCAATAGGAGAAATCATTCTTCACATTGAACTTTTCGATCTCGTACTTTCAATTTTAACTGTTTTACTTATTGACGCCATTCTCCGCTTGTATAAATAAATCTGCTTCTCTCAGGAATTTCAACAAATACCTTGTGTTCACCACACAATAATCAAGCACCACCTCAAATCAGAAATTTTACCACCTCCAATCTGAATAAAGGGCTCTGATACCAATTGTTAGGTGTAAAGTCACGTCCTCACGCCGCGAAAGCGATATCATCTCAAAGAGAGCCCTGACTTTCGTTTTTACAAAAGCACAAGTCAACCTCTATATTCTTGTCTTTCAAAGGAAACTAGAATAGAAAGTGAAATATATTAATAAAGTGAAACATACACTCTTCCTCTCATCAGTTCTAAGACTGAAATGTCGAGGGAACCTACAAGCAATGGCAAACTCATAGTTAATACAATACAGACACGAGATTTACGTAGTTCGGCTAACTTGCCTACGTTCACGAGAGGGGGTTTCACTATGAAGAAATATACCAAACTTATACAAGCTCTCTCTTTCTTTTTTCCTCCACTCAAGATTTTTTTCCCCACCACACTTCTCCTCTCTACCTCCCTTCTATTTATAGCCAAGAGAGAGACAAGAGAAGATGGGCAGAGCATGTGGCAGCGAATAAGGAGCATGGGGGTGAGCATGGGCAACATAGAAGCATGGGCTAGTGTCCCCCCTACGTTCCCAGCATGGGCAGAATGTGGGAGCTTTGTCCTCCCCCTCACGTTGTCCTCCTCACATTGACAGATATTCTTCAGCCTCTAATTTAAAATTTCATTGAGAATGACCTTTTTTTAAGTCATCTATGAGTTGTTATAGCACCTTGTCTTAATAAAATCATGAGAACAACACCCACCAAGTTTATTTTATCATGCCAGTCATCACTAGTTTTGCAATCTTAGATCATTATTATCGGTTTTCAGTTCTTCATCCATTTTGCATTTTAAACCCGAAGTCCAGTTTTGTCCTACTAGGGGAGTTTGATGCTGAATGATTTCTTCAGTTCAATATGAAGTGAGAATTCATGGCGATTATTTTTCCAAGAAATATTCTAGGAGATTAAAGAATAATTCATAAGATTAAAATATTTTTATTTCTTGAATTTATGTTCTGTGTTGTACCAGGAACAAATCTAGAAGATTTTTTTAATTTGTTTTTGATTAAGAATTAACTAGGATAAAATATCTATATGTTTTCTTATTTCATATTTTCACGAGGACTAGACAAGGGACATCAAAGCATTATCATTAAATATAGCGGTATTATATCTATATAAATGACTTTAATGTACTCAATTTTATAACTGAATAAATTTTTGATGATTAATCATAATTGCTATTAAATTAAAATCCCTCATTAGAACCCTGATTTCTTTGTTCTTCCTTCCTCCCCTTTTCTCTCCTATTGTCTAACACCATGCTGAGCCTAAATGGTAAATGGATGAGTTATTGTGGAAGGATTTCACAAGAGAGCGAAAGAATTATGCAAATTTCACATTACTCGCCCAAAAAATTATAGTTGCTACAGTACATCTGCAGATAAATGAATCATCAAACAAAACACGATTAAATATAAGTTTTCATTCCTAAACTTGACGATCTTTTAGAAACTATGGTCAGATATCCTTTGGAAAATTTATCTTTAAAGTAGGCAAATAAATTGAGTTATTAAAAAAACACGATTAAATATAGGTCTATAGGCATTAACTCAATGTGTTCTAGATACAATGGTCAAATATCAATTGGAAGATTGATCTTTGAAGTCAGCAGATAATTGTCATTAACAAAAATATGATTAAATATATGTCTTCATTCCTAAACTTGGCGAGCTTTTAAATACAATTGTCTAATTTCCTTTGGAAGATTGACCTTTGAAGTCTTCAGATAATTTAATCCACAAAAAAAAATTCCTAAACTTGACGATCATTTAGATCAATGGTCAGATATCCTTTGGAAGATCGATTTTTGAAGTTGGCATCCAGAGAATCAAATTTGTGAAGTTATGACAGATTTTACATGTTCTGACGAGGATTTCAAAGACTCCCTTAAAAAGAAATTGTAAGTGAATTTAAGGAAGTGTACATTCAATGCCTTCATCTATGCACTTCTTAGGGTTCATTATGTCTAATGATGAATTACCAGACTCCTTTAGAAAGAAATTGTAAGTGAATTTAAGGAAGTGCACATTCAATGCCTTTGTCTATTCACTTCTTAGTGTTCATTATGTTTGATGATGAAATACCAACAAACAATGACAATAAAAACTAATAAGAGATTGGTCTACGACTCTAATACTATTGTACCTGAAGTTAGATTACCACTATTCATTAAGGATTTGGTTAAGGAGATTAAGGTCCTTACGCATGGAACAGTCGCAGGTACCCACATCTGGGTGTTGGGGGCACCTATGCTTTGTGCGGTGTGCTTTAACATTTTCTTCAAACTTTTTACTCTCAAAATACTTGAGAATGAACAAATAGTAAGCCAAATTGCCGTTTACAAAAGGAAAGGCAGTCAGGATTACAAAGTCAATACTAATTGCATTGCTATACCAGTTACCTCAAAAGTTTTTTAATCGTCAAATTATCAATCCTCATCAGAAGAACTGTCCGAGGATATTTTTCCTTGATCATCTACTGCAGCAGGATCCTAATGATTAATAAGAAAATTCAACAAGATCAACATTTCAATAACTTCCAGATCTTCAATATCATAAAAAAATAGACAGGAGCAATATGTGAACCATTTTGAATCTTACTGGTATTCTATCCCAGTCCTTCAACTTTGAATTGTTAAGGATGTAACTATCACGTAAAGGAGCCCATCCAGGTTCATCATCGTTTTCTTTACTTGCAGATTTAGTAACCTGCACAGAGCAATGCAAACAAATGGACTCCAAGAATGATCAAATTCATTATGGAAATTCTACAGCTTTTCAAGTTATTTTATGTGGACTATGTGAACTATGCTATCACAAAAAATGCAAGCTAACTAAAACTGTGACAAACACACCCACCTAGCCTCATGCACATGCAAACGCGCACATAAACATCTACACTACATATAAAGGAGGATTAGGGTGCTAAAACTTTTGATTGCCCCTTTTACCCCTCTCAAATTTGATAATTCCAACTTTACTATAATTATTTTCTTTATTTGATTTATCTCAAAGTCTCATTCAATGAGTCTTAAACTAAATTAAACTAAATTAATTGCAAATCATCATAATGATAAGATATAAGTAGTTTCTTAGGCTCTTAAAGATTTCATAACTTATTTAATTAAATGCATATGTTATGGACAATTAACTAACCACTCTTTCATTTTCTCTTTACATAACCTCTTTTTTATCTTTACACTATAAATTACCGACATCTATGCTCTTCAACCCACCACATCACCTTTTAAGCCAAATTTCTCCACCAACACAATGGTTCATATTATATAGAAAGTTTGTCAAATGGTTTATAGTGGACGTGGCTTGTATATGTAGGCCCACGTGTATACATTGGATAATATTTGTCAAATAGTTTGCAGACTTAAAGATTTATTTTTTATAGAGTTGAAGATCATGCCTCATGTTCAATTCGTAGCTCTTGATTTGTGATGTCTCTTGAATCCTTGAAAAGAGAAGGATAATAAATTATAGAAAGATTATAATTTGGAAGTCTTGATATTTAAATGTATAAATCTAATTTGGGAATACAAGATTGTTTTTTGTGTGTGCTTTTTTTACTGTGAATTAGGTAAGATTCTTATTGATCTTTTAATACTTATAGAGAATGTATGATCTTATTTTTGGAGTTATGCAAAGCTATTTAAAGATTTTCCTCCTTGCACAATGTTGTAAAGAGCTTTTTGTGCTACTTATCGTAGGTTGTGCTTTTTCTTTTGAATATAGGTTATAAGTTGTGCTTTCTTATTCATTAGATGTATTCATGATTTAATTCTTAACTAATTACTCAGTTCATATGCACTTTAGGTTCAGATGTGCTATCACCTTATCTAACACTTTCAATGTTTCTTGTCCTTTTAATTTTCTTACCTCTATTAAGCATCTTTTATGTTCTTTCGTTAATAATTATGTTGAATTATAAAACTTTTTCTTCTTTTTGATTAACCACCAATAAGTTCTTTTTTCCTATCAACTTTAGACTACAAAGATCAACAAATAAAACATATTGAATAACTTTCTTATACTCATTGAGTAAATCAGAATACACAAACCTATATATAATATATTGAATAACTTTCTTATACTCATTGAGTAAAACATATTGAATAACTTTCTTATACTCATTGAGTAAATCAGAATACACAAACCTATATATAATATATTTGATTGCATTGCATAAAAATTTTGATTTCTTATATGAAATCAAGATTAGTTTGTCACTTCATTGAGATTCTTTAATTTGGGTTAAAAAATTGACTTATACAATTCTCATGAATTAAGCTATTCAAACTATATCATTATACCCCAGTTGTGATTCCATCTTGCTATTACAGCTTTTGTAATTTTGCATCTAATAATAAATCTTGTTATTCCAACTAGATACTAGACATTTAATATTATTTATTTATTTAGTGGCCTTTGTAACTTTCGTGCATGATATATTGGGAATGACAATATCATAAGTAAATATTATATCTTAAGTACATATTTAAGAATCAATAATATAGAATATATTATTTACTAATAACTTTTTAAACCAAGTACACCACGTGCAACGCGCGTGTAGCATACTAGTATATATGATAAATGAACCTCTTCCAACTAAGAGATCTTAACCATAACTATATATATAAACTCAATACTCCATATTATATAAATTTGTTATATGTGAATTTCTAGGGAGATTTCTAAAATAAGGCATACAAGCATTTGTATAAAAAAAGATCTTGTATGATGGAAATAGTGCAATTATCAACTAAAGAAAAAACCTATATGATGGGGGGAAATCGAAGAAAGATAATAATTGTAAGAATGAAAGTATGAAACTTTAATTTGTCAAGCACTTTACTAGTGTACTTTTACCTCCGTATTACCAATTGATACTCTACAGATTCTACAATTACATGAAACTTGCAACCATCTCATTAAGCATACTCTTAGTCAATCAGTAATAACTAATAAGTTTGAAGTTCCAAATGTTTATTATAAAAAATAACTGCGTTGATCTGTCATTTTTTTAAGTGAGAGAAAAATAGAACAAAGTTAAAATGCTATTTAAATGTTTTAGCATAAAACCTACAGCATTTAATATATACAGTTCAATATAATAAGCTTAGTGAATTTGTGTGCCTTCAGTAATTCGATTGACGCAGAAACAACTAAGCTATATAGTTCTACAATAAAGCTTGTCAAGTAGCAAAAATACCTTAATTTCAAATCCATAAGATATAATGTTGAATGCCAAGAGAATACAAGTTTGCAACTATAGTAAACAAACCCAAATTTGAAGGTCCAACTGCTAGACCTGTAGGAGGCTGCAAATGGCAATAGATCACAAGAGTCAATTTTTTTAATACCTTCGTAGAGTAGAAGGAAAATCCATGATCTGATTTCTCTGTTGCTGACTTATTGATTTCCGACAAAAATGCCTGTTTCCTCCGTTTTGCCAATTCTGAGAAGAAAAAAAGGATTTTCATTAAATCAAGCAAACTAAATTCTACAACTTTATCCAAAAGAAACCCATAAGAGAAACAATGCCTTATAACCATAATAAAAATGCCATCAGCAATTCAGCATTACAAATTATACAGAAGACAAATCTGCTAACTCTTAACTTTCATAATAAATTTATTATTCTTCATACAACTGAAGGTGGTACCTTTTAGAAGATAGCATCATAATTTACAGCGATAGCATCATAAATTACAGTATAATAAATAATAATCATTTTTTTAGAAGATAGCATCATAATTTACAGCGATAGCATCATAAATTACAGTATAATAAATAATAATCATTTTTAAACATGCAAGGACCAATTCTAAAGCTTATAGCATCATAAATTACAGTATAATAAATAATAATCATTTTTAAACATGCAAGGACCAATTCTAAAGCTTCGTTGAGCAAATTAGTCATGCTAATATATATGGTCAAAGTCAAAAGATAGGAAGCAAGCACATAAATAGTATGCTTTTATTTGAAATTTGTTACATGATGTTCATAAGTGATGAAATTCTACAATTAACATGAATTTTAATAGTCCAGAGAGACAATTCTTTTAATCAAATTAAAAAAACTCTTTAAATTATTTTTATTAAATCAATTATAGATATACTTTGTGTAGTATCCAAAAAATATTCTTAGACTCAAAGAAGTAATTGGATCCTGATTCAGATTTGGAGAATAAAATCTCTATTCAAAAGAAGAATAAGACATAATGACATATATAATTCAAGTATGATTCTAACTGTGTATTCCAATGCCGTTCAATTTAACACTAACTGTAACATACATGAACATAATCCAAAACCACTAATAATACTTGAGAATGATTCTTCAGTAAGCATAAATTTTAACAGCATGGTCGATTTAGGCAAGTAATCTGCAAAAAAACTAAAAATTCCATGGTAATTGAGCAGTTTGAATGTCAATCCACCTAAGATGACAAACTTGCACTCAAGTGCAACTGCTGGTTTTAACTCCTAACTGTAACATACATGAACATAATCCAAAACCACAAATAATACTTGAGAACGATTCTTCGGTAAGCATAAACTTTAGCAGTATGGTCGATTTAGGCAATTAATCTACAAAAAACTAAAAATTCCATGGTAATTAAGCAGTTGAATGTCAATCCACCTAAGATGACAAACTTGCACTCAAGTGCAACTACTGGTTCTAACTGCTCTTGATAAGAAGATCAATCTTGAAAATAAGGTCAATATAAACTTGTATTAACTTCTAAACAGAGAGATAGGAGCCTTCAGCTTATGATTTAGTCTTTAAGGTCAATATAAACTTGTATTAACTTCTAAACAGAGAGATAGGAGCCTTCAGCTTATGATTTAGTCTTGCAGTCGAGTCTTGATGATAAAATATAGTTAAACAGAGAGATAGGAGCCTTCAGCTTATGATTTAGTCTTGCAGTCGAGTCTTGATGATAAAATATAGTTATTTCTGGAGGAAACCCTTATAAGTCCAAGATGTATATAGAATCATCAAAAGACATTCAATCCAAGATAGACCAAAATATGATGAAAAATATAGAAAGAAATGAAATTAAATTATGTACAAATGGATGTTGCTTTATCCAACATGATCTCCAGAGGTTGAGCAAAGGTGTAATCATGACAAATTAATTAAAAAGGAGCATAATTATTAAAAGGATCTGGAACAAAGAAATTAGAACAATATGCCAGAAAAACCTTTAATATATATGGATGATGCGGTAGTGAAAGACCACAGATTAATTAGCAGCCGAACCACATCTGATGCAAATCATGTCCACTTATCACAAGCTTATTAGGATTCACGTCTAATTGGGAAGAAATATGTTTCAATTGGTAATTTTGTACACTGATGAACAGGCAATATCCAACTTTAGTAACCTAAGCTATGGTACGACGTTTTGCTTTACAGAATTGAACCATGGAAGATGGTCCGCTCCGTGTGCAGCTGACCTCTCTACAATGAATAATGTCCATGGTTGACGACTTATCGAGCACAATATTTCTGCAGTAATGTTCTCACTTAGTACTCCCTATAGAATTTTGATCGAGGCGAGGATCCATTTATATATTAACATGTTCATGTCCATGCTTCTCCATATCAAGGGCATACTCTGTTTTCATTGCTCTTATAAGGTTAGAGTGATTACTGATTTAAGCCTGACCCATATAGTTCCCCATGGTTCTTATAATATTAGATTATAAATATGATGGCTTCTACAGATGCAAAAGGCCATCCTTTTCTTAGATTTTTTTTCATTAAGGAACTTAATTCACCACTTAAATCATATAGGGGTAAAAAAAATTGTTCAGATAACTAAAGGAATGAGTGTATGATAACATTAATTTTTTTTTGAACTCGCCGCCCCCCCCCCCACCAAACCTTAACATCCTTCAGCCCCACATATCCCCTCCCACCCATGCCCTCCACACCATTCAACCATATCCTCCTCTCCATTGTGCCTCCTCCCTAACCTAAAGTGGTATAACAAGAGCAACAAAACCTTTATCACAATTTTTTGTGTACCGAAATGGTCAAGGCCTTTTTATACTGATTCGTCAAATCTCAAAAAACTTGGGATACAAGTTAAACATGTAAAAAAAACTAGTATATGAACACATGACATGGCATATCAAGGAGACACCAAAACTAGAAAAGCATATATCCTATATTTTCAGTCAGAAATAAAAAAATAAATGTCTTTTAATAGTTCAATTGAACTCTACCTTAACCTACTATAAGCATTTCCCTTCTATAATTTCAACAAACACATAGTAAGTATTATCACCCTTCCAATGAATGAGCATAGCGGATACAAATCTAACTTCTTGGATTCCAAATGCACTAAGCAAAACCATACTCACAAAATAGAAATGCAATGAATTTCTTATAAATGAATAGAAATTCAATAGTCAAGACACGGTAATTAACGATACTTTACATGGTAAATGACAGATAGTTAAAAAATAAATATGTTGATATGCATTCATAAGAAGAAAGAAAAGCAACTATCATGTGGTGTAAACATCAACCTTATCAACCAAACTGGGTTTTATACTACTAAAAAGAATAAACAAGTTGTTTGCTATATCACACCTTTGGCATCTTTAGACCTCGAAGGATTCAAGTCTTTCTGTGGATTTTGTGCCTTATTGACCTGTAAATGACAATTTCAAATATGATAGGAGAGGATTCAAGTCTTTCTGTGGATTTTGTGCCTTATTGACCTGTAAATGACAATTTCAAATATGATAGGAGCTGCAACATCTAAAGATATAAAAGAAATGCCTTATTGACCTGTAAATGACAATTTCAAATATGATAGGAGCTGCAACATCTAAAGATATAAAAGAAAGGGAAGATGAAAAGGTAATAGAGTGTAGTAGTACCGCATTGAACAACTTAACCACTGAAAGCTCATACCGCATATGCAAGATAAAATTTGGTAAGTGACTCAACCATTACCGATGTGGAATAACAAGACTAAAAATTGGATGTTGGGAAAGAATACCTCCTTTTGTAGCAATGCTAATTAGAAGTTTTTCCTTCGTGTCTAGGAAAGTTGCTGGTTTTACATGACCCTTCTCTCCTGCCTATTCAACATTATGTAAAGGGTGAAATTATAATGAAAAGGTTAGCCGTTTTTCCACAAGTAGGGATAAGCGTAAACTTGATCATGTTTGAAATTTAAATAAATTACAAACCAAATGCTTTTCCTTCTTTGCCTCTCCCTTTGACTTATGCTCAGTTTCCTCTTCCAGTAGCTTATTAGCAATAAGCTTCTTGTGTGCAGATAAGACTGGGCCCTTTGTACAATAGAAGAAAGAAAATCCATGTCAGGGAAGGAACGGTTCACTAATCCTATCATTGGATGTACAAATAAGTCAAGGCACTTTGAATTTTTATATCAAACCCAATTGGAATAAATCCAACTTTAGGGTTTTGAAACACCAATCAACACCAACAAATCTCCATAATGTGGCAAACATTAGTTTCTCTTTGGGTATTCATTCACGATTCCTCTTCAACATGGCATAAAAATCGGAGCTTGCAGAATCTTAATTAATAAGTTGTTAAAGAGGAGAAATTAAAAGAAGTTATTACTTACCAACGGATCATTGGGGAGATGCTTCTTCATAATCTTGAGGAAAGCCGTTCGAAAAGCCCTGCAACCTTCAGAGAACTTAGTAATGCCCAAACGAGAGCCATCGTCCTCTTCGTCGGAGGCATCGATATCCCTCTCCTCTTCCTCCTCTCGTTCCTCCTCATCACTGGATTGCTCATCGGCAATGTCTTCTTCTTCCTCTTGCTCGTATTCTTCTTCGGATTCATCGGAGTTGTAGGCTTTGGCTCGTTTCTTGAAGAGCTTCTTCATCTTTTGGCTAGGGTTTTTCGTTTTTGCAACGGGTTTGAGTTTCTTGTTGGGTTTTTTCTTTCCCTTGCCTCCTCCATGCTTTAGCTTTCTCTTCTTGGAGAATGAGGTAACCGCTGCTGTTGCTGCTTCCAAAGATTTGATTTCTGCAGTCATCGGCGGTCTTGGGCGTCGAGGGGAGACGGAAAAAAGGGGGAGGAACGAGGGTTTTGTGAGAGAGTCGACTGCTGCTCGTAATGGGCCGGGCTTGTTCAGCATGTGATCTATTTGTTTGACAAATGACTAGGAGCAGATTGTTCGGGCCTGCCGATTCACTTCCGATTTGAAATCAGTTTCTCATTAATATGGCGAAAATTAGCACATTATAGTTTTTGTAAACATTAAAATTATTGATGTACACATGCACGTACAATAAGAATTGCTTCATACACAATATGATTTACTTTACATCATTTTCCGATTCTTATACATAATTTTAAATAAAATATGTATATGTACAGAAATACGAACTTTGAAATTGATTTGCAAGTTATTGCCACACCAGTAAACTTCGGTCCAAGCCAACCAAAGTTAGTGAAATCTGAAATAGCAACTTTGATAGAATTAATATACTTTGAAGACCCGAAAATAGCCGAAGTAAGTTACAAAAACACTCAAATGCTGAATCAAATTTTATTTTTCAAGAAAATAGACCTCATTATCATGAATTTGTGCAAGTCTATCATTTCTTATGTCAGGTGAAAATTATTAGCATACTTGAACAAAAATGGAGATACATGGATGTCCATATTGCAACAAGAAAATGATGGAATTAGAAAACACCTATTGGTGCAGACAATGTAACAAGGAAGTCATAGCAGAGAACAAGTAAGCAATTAATTTATTTCACGCTACAAATAAATTTTTCTCATAGACTTTTTATTCTGAGTAAATACTTTTCTAAATATAAAATTATCAATAGGTATAGAATAACATTGGATGTGGAAGATAGAACTATAATCAGTACATTCGTTGTCTTTGGAAAGGAAGCAGAAAATTTAATCAAAGTTTCAGCCCAGGAGGTATCAATACATTCGTTGTCTTTGGAAAGGAAGCAGAAAATTTAATCAAAGTTTCAGCCCAGGAGGTATCAAGGACAATAGAATATGTAAGCTCGAGAAGCAGAAAATTTAATCAAAGTTTCAGCCCAGGAGGTATCAAGGACAATAGAATATGTAAGCTCGACCTTTAATAATCAAACTGCTTCACATTAGAAGATAAATGTATTAAGAAGTGCTTAACTAACACGTGATTTTGTGCAGGACAATGAAAGAGAGATATTCCCAGAGATTATCAAATCAATTATTGAGAAGACTATAAAAGTTCAGGTTAAGCTAACAAAGTATAACTTCGAAGAAGGTAAGCAATTCTTTTGTTTGATTATTGATCCAATACATTTATCTAATATATCGCAATAATATACTATAAATTTAAAGATAGCTTTATATCTGCTTTTCATAGTTTTATTTTTATAATGATGAAACAGGCAATGAGAACTTCACTGTTACAAAACTTATCGAAGTTATTGAAGGTGATTCACATGTACACACCTAAAATTTGAAGTTATCGAACTTATCAAAGTTATTAGAAATGCTTATTATATAATGACAATGTAATAGTACATTACATCTAATTTTCTCTACAAAGGAATCCCAAGAAGTTGAAGTTGTTGATCTACATGAAGAGGCTCTCCTACAGACACCTAAACATATTTCAAAAGATAAAGCTGTGTTCACTCCCTTGAGTAACACACCGCTCAAGCCAAAGATGGAAAAGGTTTTCAAAAGTTCACCTTTAAGGATAAATGATCTTATAGATGAGGAGAACATTCAAAGGAATTCTACTGTCAAAAAACCGAAGGTTAAGCTGATTGGCAATCATTTGTTACGTGTTGTATGCGCTAAATGAATACAATATCATAAAAAGCTCATTATCTATTTTGTGCAGATCTCAAAAGAAAGAGAACTTCCAATGAGTGTGGCAAGGAGAACTAAATCTGAATTTTTAATGGAGTTGCTACCAAGTTTTTGTGCACAAACCTGATGAATTTATTTTGATCTTCATATTTTGTTCAGTAAAGCTTAATATCATAGTGACTTTCTATATGAAAATTGTTTTGACACACTCGGTGTGGTTATATGTATTAGTTTAACTTTAAGGTTATTTTGGAGTAAGTACTTTACTATGTTTAAGAACTCACATGCATGAATGAATGGTAGTTGAATATTAGGCATGGTCATATGTTTATGTGCAGATATTTGATCAGATTCATACTTCATAGCAATTTCCATGTCTATGCAGCCTTTTTTTTTCTATGTATATGCAGAGAAAGTACCCTCTCAAAATTTACTCAAGCAGTTCCCTGCCTTTAGTATGAAGAAAAGACACAAAAGAGAGTTAAGACTTCAAATTAGACTAACAACGCTCATCTTAAGTAGGTATGATTTAATTGAGCAACTTATAGGTAATTTATATATATGCTCAATTTTATTTATAGATTTCACCAAATTAGTGCATCCATTAAATAGGATTCTAAGAGAGGAAAAACATCGACTTATAACATTAAAGTCATAAACTTCATGAGAAAATATAGAGTGCTTAAAATTTAATGTTATTTATGAGATTAATTCATTTAACTGTATGTGTCGTAATTTATTCCCTTGTAGACTATTTCATTTAACTATATTTTTGGGAATAAATTACCATTTGCATTAGAGTATGTATATAGCTTATTAGGATATCTAAAAATTGAGAACAATTCTAAAATAATCTGAAATCATGTAAAGACTATAAAGATAAGTCAATTATTATAAGTATTTTCACTCTAGGATACGTCTTTCAAAAATTAACCATGTCCCAAGATTATGACACAGAAACAACACAAAGTAATTAAAATATAATAATTCAAAACTTACCAACATTGATCACTAAAGGGTAATTTTTTTCCTAAAAATAAATTTCAACCTGATCAAGCTTTTATTTTAACTCATGCATGCAATTCTTTCCTTGCGATAATTTTCTTGCGAAGTTCACAACTCTTATAGCCATTTGAGCAGCAGTTAAAAAGGAATGTCTCTATTGCCTAGAATTTATTCAAGCAGTTCCCTTCCTTCAGTATGAAGAAAAGACAAAAAAGAGAGTTAGTTAATACTTCAAATTGACTAACAATACTCATCTTAAGCAAGCAATTTAAATGAGCAACTTATAGACAATTTATATATATATATATATATATATATATATATATATATCCCCAATTTTCATTATAGATTTCACAAATTAGTGCATCCATTCAATCAACTATTGTTATTAACTAAAGGAGAACAATGGAATTGATAAAATGAACAGTAACCAACTGTATGTTTTATAAAATGAACAGTAACCTCTTCTACAACTGATTTTCCTTCTCCTCTACACCCACATCCAAAAATAACCACCTACCCACGTTTTCCTTCACCTGCCCATGTTTTCCTTCTCCTCTACACCCACTTCCAAAAAAAGTTGTTTTTCCTTCTCCTCTACACCCACAACCAACTTGTATGTTGTTTTTCCTTCTCCTCTACAACAAAATTATTCTTCTGAAATTGTTTCCGAGAAAGAGAATAATGTGAAGGTAAGATTTCTCATCTCTTTAATTTCATTTATTTATGTCATTTATTTCATTTATAGGTGTCAGCTTATGAACTTTATTTGCGTTTTAGGAGTTTCAATTAACTTAGATGTCAATTAACTCAATAAAAACCCTCTCTCCCCCTCTCCCCCTCATGGCCGTTGCCGACTCTACCGACGCCCTCGCCGAAGCTCAACCTCTATCGATCCCAACTTTTGCAGTGGCTACATTCAAAGCCGGAGGTAGCCCCAAGCTCGCATGCAAAACATCCCCATTTAAATCTATAGAATTTCCCAAAAACCAGGCCAAAATTAGCAATTACCAAAAAATCCCCAGAATCACAGAGCTATCTCCAAAAAATCCTAAAAACTTTGCATGCTAATTTTCAAGATACAGAGATATCTCCAGAATCACAGGTAATTTTTTCAATTATAAAGGTTTAATCTTGCTTAATTACTTCAATGATTTTTATTTTTCAACCTCACTAACTTTTTTTGGGGGCAAAACGTCGACCCAGGTTGAAGTTCATCGTTCTCAAAAGGTTCTACTTTACAAAAGTCATTCTTCAACTACAAAATGCAAGTAAGACTTCCGCATGCCAGTATTCTTTCTATTTTCATCATTTCTAACGTTTTTACAATTTATCAACAGAACCACCAACACGATTTAGAATTCCTAATTCTTCTATGTTTTATTTATAGGAGGCATTCATCACTTGCAAAACTCAAACAAATTTTCAGGTAATTTTTTTAATTATCAAGAATATTTTTTCCTTTTCAATTTCAGATTTATTAGGTCAAGATTTGATTTTTTTAATGTTTTGGTTCAGAAAGAATTGGAGAAAAAAGTTGAGGAGCAGCAGGTTTCGAAGGCCACTGAGTTGAAGGTAAATTTCATGTTTTTTGAGTCCTTTTGTAAGAAAACTGGGCGGTCAAAATAATTGTAGCCCAACATTCATTTCATTAAGAATTTAAATGAAGTACATCCATACTAAGTGGATATTAACGGAATGCATTTAAACAATAGAAAAGGAACAAAAAACAAAGTTTCAACCTCAGTAAATCAAACTTGATGCTCAATTGTAGCCATTGCAGCTGCCTTTGCTTGCTTCTTATCCTTCTTTCTTGCATTCTCTATCCATAAAATCTATGAAAGTATTAATTTCTAGAAGAATCTGCAGAGAGAATTTAAAATTAAAATTAAAGATCCTCCACAAAAAATAGTTTTAACAACATTGTCCTCTTTCTTCATGCAGTCCGAGGTTGCAGAATACTCATTTGAGTCCATATTTGTCACCTTTTGGAGTAACGTGGGGAACATATGTAAAATTACATCAATTTTGGTGGCACTTTGCATATATAAACTGCATCTGTTCTTCTTAATACCTATGCATGTGAATATCTAAAAAGTTTCAGTAGCAGCAAAACCTAGATGTAAGAGTAGATAAGCAAACTGGTCTAAGTTCGTAAAACAAAATGGCTATAGAGAAGGAAACACTGAAATCTGAGCACACACATTAACATTCTTCTACTTAGTTTAAGTAGGTGAGAGTTATATGTAGTTATTAAATAAGTGACCTAGAATCCACTTGGGGTC